TGAGAAAACCTGCGTTTTGTGCAAAACCCGGTCGGGTATGGCCTTTACCCGGCCGGGTATGAAGTGAAAGAGGAAGTTGCTGTGAAATTAGCAAATATCCGGTCGGGTATTCCCTATATCCGGTCGGGTATGAAGTGATTTCGAGCAAACGAACGTGCAGAAGAACACAAGAACATGGGAAAAAGATTTGATTTGACAAATACCCGGTCGGGTATGGCAAATACCCGGCCGGGTATCCGGCATTAGGTGTTGAAAACACCTATAAATAACCCCATTTTCCTTCACTTTTCATCATCCCTTCTTCCATACTTTTAAGCTAAGTTTAGAATAGCATTTTTTTATATTTTCTTAGCTATGTTTAGTCTCCAAATGAGGAGCTAAACTTCCATTTCTTGGTTTTGCTCTTGAAGCTTGTTTATTATTAAAGTTGTGAGTTATTTTCTTAACTTCTTCTCTTGATTATTAATTCTCCCCTTAATCTCATTCTATATTAATGTTGGAGGGTTGCTAAGTGACGATTAGTTAACGTTCCGACATTAATTACTACTAGAAACGATCAACGAACCGATGGTTAATCGTTGATGGTTTCACAAGTAAGTAACTTTGGTTTATTAATGCACGGTTGTGATTAATAAACTTAAGAGGGATCAATTTTGTTGGTTAAACCAAAACCGTTGTGTTGAGGTTATCAATCTCAATTGATTTCATCAAGGAGTTCAAGAGATTAAAATGCTACTATTAAATCGGTATACGGCGTTGATCTATATTTGATTAATAGTAAGGGTTATTAATGAACGGTCGTTGTTAATAACTACCCTCGATGAATTGGAGATACTCCTCGATTGAGTATTCAAGAGGGGATAAGTTGTAGATATAACAATGATCGACTAAAATATATTAACAAGTGGAAAGTAGCAAGACCAAGTCCCTTTTATTCTTGAATTAAATCTCATATAAGTCGTTCAATTTGATGTTCAAATTAAATTAAATCACTCAATCTAAATCCCTCGTTTTTATTTACTTATTTCATTAAAAAGATAAATATTCCTTTCCCTGTGGATACGAACTCTACTTCATCTATACTACGTATAAGTGTTAGTATCGATTTATTTTGACGCACTATGATGAAGTGCTCGTCACAGCTAGTTAAGCACATCGTAAGGTGAGGATGACTGACTATATTGTTTATAACTAGTGGGTTAATTCATGAGATTACCTAATTTATGAAAGCATGATTTTTAATTGATTAATATGCCTAATAAAGTGTCAATTGATCATATTGTTTTATATGAAGAGTTGATGCATGATTGATTGAACTATGAGTAATTGGAGCATGATTACTTGCTATATTTGAAATGTTGTTCTAGTGCATTTAGTGAAGAACTAATGAAATGATTTATTAATCACTATTAAATCGTATTGACTTTATGGTTTGTAAAGTCAATATAGAATGAGGTGAGAATGAGTCATGGTATGGCCGCCATGTTCGTTTGAAGGGGGAAAGAGAAATTGAACTAAGATCAACTCGGGTAGTACTAAGTGACTAGCCCGAGGTTGTAGCATGAACCTTAATAAAATTGATCCTAGATTTAGGATTGTGATGCTTTGTGGCTAAGGTATTCACTTGGGATAGCCTTGGATGATTTAAATAATATATTGTCCTATAATTGGATTGTTAATGCTATTTTCCGGGTGGTCTTTAGGACACCTGTATTTGATTGTTTGATTGGTAGCAAGAGTCATGTCTCGACTCTGGTCTAAGGATAGATGCCCAGCCACATGAACTTGCTAATGGATAAGTGGGAGACATGGTCCGGACGAGTCTAAGGATCGTGCCGGACTGCATGGGCTCATAATAGAATATAATAGATGTAAGGATCATGGCCCTGCCCGACTCTAGAGAGCGTGTTGGATAGCATGGACTTACGGCGTGATCACGTATAAGGGTGGAATCCGAATTGGAGACCTAACGAGGCTCTGACAGTGATAACACATAAGATAGGACCCCAAATGGGCCTTACCTTCCCACGGGAACAGGGTATGAGTCCAGGGGCGGGATGCTGGACTCTGACCGAGTGTCTTGTGGGGACTTGGATAGCGGTGATAGGTCCTGTATGATTGATGTGGGTCATGTGACCCTTGGGTTGAATTGTATGAATTATTAATGTAATGAGTTATCGCAAGGCGATACGAAATGTATTGTTAAATACAAATGGGGCCATAAATTATTGTTGGACGATACAAAGGGTTTGTGACAAATACAAATGGGCCTATGAGCCGACTATTTGACTTTATATACTTATGTATGATTTGAAAGGGGTAACATGGGTTATTTCCTAGAATATGATATCACCCTATGTTGAGGGTCTTAAGGATTGAAACATTAATTATATGTAGTATAGTTGTCATTGTACTTTTCAAATGCTTCAAAGTACTGATCCCCCCTTCACGAGGAAGGCCACCTCACAGTTTTCAGATAGAAGCTAGAGCTTGCTTCCTGTGCCCGTTGCCTCAGGAATTCTTGGAGAGAAGACGTGGTTCGTGCTTCACCATTGTTCTATATCCACGTCACATTTTTATCCGGTACTTTTATTTTACTTGAATTTGGAATTGTTTCATTGTTGGATTTGTTGATTTAATTTCTTCTTTTTGAAAGATGTTGATTTAATTTCTTGTAATGCTATTTGTACAATTATACTCATATAACTTCAATTCTAGTCTATCTGAATTGTTTAACAAAGAATTCATGTGAACCGATTTTATACACGGATTTCTAAAGGTAGTAAATGACCGAGCCTTTTTGGGTAATATGCCCCTCCAAGATCACAGAGATGGTTCCACCACTGGCAGTGAAGGTGGTGCATGGCTTGGGTGTTGTGGGGAAATGGTGGTGAGGGGTTGGTAGTGGTGTTAACTAGTTGGACGGTGGTGGTCACTTGATGTGCGGCGACGGTCACTACTCGTGCCGAGATGGTTACTGGCCACGCGGTGGCGATTGTTAGGTTTCTGTTGTCACTGGGTGTCACAATGGTCCATCATTGTTAGGTCACTGATCGAACTGTGATATTCACTGGCCGGAAGGCGGTGGTCACTGTGACATTGGTTATTACGGAATTGAGTCATTGTGGCATTGGTCACTGTAGCAGGCCAAGTGGGTTTACCAAGAGTGTTATGGTCATCTTAATTTTTTTATCTCATTTTCAGAAATTTCAAAAGTATGTCCCTTATTTAAATTGTTTAGTTAAGTTTTTTCCCGAAATAATGCTAATTAAATAAATAATTACCAAAATACTGTTGGGTTAAAAATAATTCCCAAATGCCGTCCTCGTCATCAGACGTGCGTCCAAACGCCGTCCTTCATTCTCAGACGAGCTCATCAGCATCGTCATCCTCAAAGCTAAGGGGATTATTTTGGAAATTATTTTTAACTCAGCAGTATTTTGGAATAAAATAGCATTATTTCAGGAAAAAACTCTATCTAATTTTAGTAATAATCTTGTCTTACCTCTTATTAGTATTTCTATATTTCAAACGTGTAACTTAAATTTAAAAATGGGCATGGCGTAGGAAGCGGATTGATAATGTTTTATACTAGTACTATATAGTAATTTCAAAGGCGTTGTATATGTGGAATAATGGGCTAATGGATTATATATGATTGGTTTGTTGATGTATGAATCCTATCAATAGAACCAATATTGAATAATTAAGTAAAATGAACACAATAAATTAATAAATAATGTCCTCGATATTTCACATAAAATTATAAAATGTTGTGTTCAGGGGCGGAGCCAGACTTTAAGGTAAGTGAGGTCAGAATTTTTTATATATAAATATATACTAATACATATCTATTTATTAATTTTTTTGGAGGGGGGGGGGGGGGGCAAAAAAAATTTAAGGTAAAATTAATTTAAAAAAATGGGTGGGGGGGGGGGGGGGGCAATGGCCCCCTTGGGGTTACATGTAGCTCCATCTCTGGTTGTGTTTATTAGTTAAAAAGAGGTTTTTTCAAAAATATTATGGTACTAAATTAGTAATACACTAATACATAGACATTTTGACATCAAATTACGTCCCTTTTGAACGAATTGTTTATGTACACAAACAGTGGGTTTTGTGTATTGTGTACAACCCATGTACACTAAGAATGTTTCCTCAAAAAATATGTTCACGTTTCCTGTGAAGTATTTCAAAATAATTTCACTTCCAATTTGAAATAATCTACCACAAAAGTAGCTACAATATATTTTACGAGTAATAAAGTAGTGTCCAATACGTACACACTAGACACCTACGGTACAGAAAATTACCATGTGCTTTTTTAAACTCTTGCATAAGATTTCTTAAATTTTGTAAAAGTGTTAATTAGAGCCTCTTTGGTAACTCATATTTTTCTGTTTTTCAATCTTTTTTTAACAATCACGTAACCTTTGATTTTGCATGTTGGGTCATGTAATATTCAAATAAGTGAGGTTAGAACTTTTGGGACTGAATTGACTAAAATTACTCTCGTAGAAGACCATTTTATCTATTTTTCATATTTATGTTCTTCATTTTATTAAAAAGATACACTTTAAATATTTCTTTTTTTCATAATTCAGCACCTTGAGCTCATTAAATTAAAAGTTAAACAATTTCAACAGATTCAATCAATTCAATCCATTTGAGTGTTAGGAAAGAGACCCTAGCTACAAGGGTGAACCCAGGAAATTCATTTTGAAGGGTTCAAAATATTTTTTAGAGGGCGAAAATTATTTTTTGATGGGGCGAAAATTACTTTTCGTATATATATTGGGTGGTCTCTACTACGGACCGCCCCTGCTTAGCTAGCGTCCAAATAATTTGGAATGGACTAATCGAGGGAGTGGGTTACTTGCACAATTTCCCTCATTTGACACAAGTACGTACGTAAGAATAAAGAAGTGTCATATTACATTACTTAGGTCTTTCATTGTGTGTTTAGTATGTGATTCAATATTGCAATGTAGTACGTATTACTTTTTGTGTAATTAAAAAACAGTTATGTGTTTCTTCAACAATACTCCTTGTTTAAGTAATATATACTGATCCCTACTTGGCTACTTGATTTGCTATCTTCCCCCACAAAGATTTGCCAGGTTTCAGTTTTTAAAGATGTTAATCTTCCATCAATATTTGATTTTGTAGTGTACATGTTTTGTTTTCATCAACTTTATACCAGATCCAGAGAACTTCACAATGACTCGTTGTGTATGTATTTGATTTTGTCCCTTATTTGAACTTGTTTGCCTGCTCCACTTTATTTATTTATCTAACCACTCTACTTTGCCCATACTATTAAATATTTTGAAACACAAAAGAAGCATGTCACATGTTGATGTTGAGTCAAATATTGAAGCATGAGGTTCGATCAATTATGCAAATTAAATAACATTGTTTTTACATAATTTTAATTTTTTGTAGTAGTAGTGTAACTTAATTATAAACTATTGCAAAAGATGAAAGTCGCATTGACAATGATGGGGTTTGAAGTGAAGGTAACTCAGCTTCGCGAGTTAATGCATCAAACTCTCTCGTGATATAGAAATTTAGTGCATTAGCCCCCTGTGATTTAGAAAATGCATCAAACCCCTCGGTGTTAAAACTAATCATGCGCAGAATCCCCGTATGAATAAATTCAATTGTCAAATAAAAGAAAAATGATTAACATTTTTGTATAATTTAGACATTTTGAAAAATTACTTACATATTCAGTCATAATCCTTAGAAGGTGACTTTAAAATTGCTAAATTTATTCAAAAAAGAGGTTATGCACACGAATAATTATAATACTAAGGGATTTGACGCATTTTTTAATCACATGGGGCTAATGCGCGGAATTTCTATATAAATTTGAAATATGAGATTTGATGCAATGAACCACCTTTCCACTCTTAAATAGAACAAATTTGAAAGAAAATCAGCATGTTATGTTTATATATAAATTAATTTAGGGGTTGCATGTTTTGTTTTTTTATATATACAATTAATACACTTCGAATTATAACTATCACAACCTAAAAAGCGGCCGTCTCCCACTCTAGGGTTTCTTCCTTCCGCTACCATCCTCGACGAAGAGCAGCTCCGGTGACTATCGAAGATGGCGATTGGTCGTGTGTTTCTCAGGAGAGCTAGCAGGCAGTCTCGATCGAGCAAGGGCTGCACTTCATGTTTCAGGAGTGGGACTCCTTCACCGTTGATCCGGATGAAGTACTACTTCGGGCAAAGCGAAGGCAGTAAGGGTTGTGGCGGGTTTCGCCTCGATCAAGCACCAAGAGATTTCAATGGAGGATATATATCATCAATCAATACAACAACATGGCTATTGGCGGGGATGGGGAGGAGCTGAACTTCGATGATGATGAGGTTGGTGAGGATGTGGTGGACCAGTATGGCTTGCAGCTGAACTAGTATAAATCATTCTGTATTTATAGACTTTGTTGTTGAATCTCCTCCGTTGGCTGAGTGATCCAATCTTGATCGTCGTTTGATCTACTTGCTTTGTTCCACTTGACTGGGGCAGCATGATTGATTCTTGTCTTCTTGTGACACAGATCATTTATCCTCACTCCACTTGATTCCTCATTTCAAGGCAAAGATAAAGATGATTTATCTTTATCTCTTTAGCTCATAGAAATTCAGTATCTAGGCCGAGTGTTGTTCAATGCTTCCTCATGATAGGATTACTTGGTTTTAGTAAATAATGTTATTAGAAATTTTGTCACATAATTTCTTGTAACATTATTTTCTATTCTTTTTATCATTTTGATTGCAAGTGGGTCTGTTGTTTTCTTGTTTCTGTGCTAAGAGAAGAAAGAATAGCAGATGTCGAGTACTTAATCAGATTACCTATGAGGTCTTCTGTTCTGGTGTCACCAGAGAAGTGTCACCAGAGAACCTCTTCTCTTGTGAGGTCTTCTGGTGTTTATAAGAGAACCTCTTCTGCCACTGAGGTTTTCTGATGCGACCATGATGGGGGATCCATTCAGATACCAATGGGACCGCAAAATTCCATCCTATTTAAATTTGTTAATATTTTTTTCAATTTTGTAGGGCTCTCAAAACCAGTGCAGGACGACTCAATCTCACTCCAACATGGGAGCACGTTAGAATCCGAGGACCCCACATCCATCTCTAAGTTGATTTTATATCACCAAATCCAGACGGTCGGAACCGTTGTTGAACATGTCTTATCTTCTGGAAAACAACCCCAGTTGCCACCGATCGAGGCTTACTCATGTGCCTCTGACGAGTTTGATCATTCGGATGACTCCTTCTTCAAAGATGATTTCTTGGGCCATGCGACGGAAAGTGACCATCGTCCTCCTATTTCGTACCCAGAAGAAATTAGGATGTCCAAATTCAATAAAGAAATTTGTCGGAAAGCCAATTTCGTAACTTCGGAAAATTGTCTGCCAACTGACAATTTGAACACGCAGATGAAAATCTACAAAAAAAAAACCAGAAGAATAAAAGACGTCATAGCATGAGAACACGGTCTCAATCTAGAGACTTCCCATGGGACTAGTTATTAATTTGTTTTTATCTCTTATTTTTTATTTGGTCTCTTCTGCTTTTCTTCCTTTTTGTAATACTTTTCTTTTTTTCCTTTATCGCATTGTACTTTTTCCCTTTTATCAATAAAATTCCCCTTTTGTTAAAAAAAAGTGTCCGATTCTGTTTTAAGGGTTTCAGTTGACTCTTTTCGTACCTTTTCTTTTTTTATTCTTTTCTTTTTTTTTTATGGTACGTTTCTTCCCTTTTTAGTACTCTCTGTTTTTCTTGAGTACTCTATCACTATTGAGCACATTACAATAAAAAAAACAGAACAAATACAAGCGCTAGTCTATTACAGGGATACATATTGGTTTTTAGCATCATCAAAACTATTATCTGTTGATCATCAAAATCTAGGGGACCTAACACTTGGTCATTCTGATAAATTTTGTCCATTAACCAATGAGGGAGACGATATGGTACTAGAAAAATCTTATCGGATGGATCTTAGAGCTGGGGAAGGAGAGAAGACTAGTCCTACTAGAGGAAACAAGTGGTTGGTAGAAGGCACCTCAAGCACGGGAATGGGGATTCAGCAGAAGAGTGGGCAAAGGAGGACAAGGCTGGATTGTGGCAACGGATGCAGGCAAAAGCACGACAAAAGAAGGTGACCTGGTGAGCTCCGACGAGATGTCGGGTGATCAGAAACGCAAGAGACTCTGGGAGAAGCAGGAACAGGAAGATCCAAATGGTGATAGCATGGCTCTTGACAAGCCATAAAACGGGAAGACGGCGCATCTCGGACACTAGACCCGCCGGGATGTATGAAGCAAACCGGTTGGTCAGGGCCGCGGATGGTGATTGTGCTCTTGAAGACGGAGCAAGAATTTATTCCTACTGTTTTTTCCTAGTTATTTTTCATGGTCAGATTGTTTACATTTTTGTTGGTTATTTATTTTGTTGTAAGAGTTTTGCATTAGGATTGGTTGATGGAAGGGATGTGTTGACAGTCTTTGGCTCATTTGTGCCCATTACAGAATGAGTGAGTCAAATTGCTTCTTTGAAGGTGATTGACTCTAGGTCTGATTTGAGAGCTGGCAATTGTGTGTGGTCCTTTTGTTGCTTTACTTCCTATCTGAATGTTATGATATCAATTTAAGTCTCCTTTATCCAAAAAAAAATATAATTAATTTAGAGATTGTACGATGACTTGTTTATTTGATTTGTATATAGGGACTTTAACTTGACAATACAAATCTCTTAAATCCATTAGACAGTCCCGAAAATCACCTTGATCAATAAGGTAGAAGGAATGAGAAATAAAATACTGCAGAGTACTACGTATCTAAATTAAAGTTCTAATTTGATTTCACACGTATTAAAAAATGGATTTACTGAAGGATAATTTTATTAAAGTGTACACCGTTTTGACATTTTTTAATACTATTTGACACTGTTTGATATAGATTTGTTTGTCAAATAAAAAAGTAAGACTTTAATTTAAGAACATATCATTAAGGAGAGTAGGGCTTTAATTTTGGGATCCAGGAACATAATAAATGGTTCAAAAGGATCTTTAAAATGGAATCCAGGAACAGTTTGACGGTTTTTGCTTTTACTCCAACAATATTTTTTCCCTCGTACTTCCTCATTTCTCGTTGGCATATACGAAGTACTTAGTGTGAACTTAAAAAAGATAACAAATTAAATAAAATATTTGAAAAATATGAGGGACAAATTTTTAATAAGTGCATCTGTTCATTCTACATTTAATAAGTACATAATATTAAATTTAAAATCTACAAACAACTTGATTTTAATGAAGCATAAAACACCTTTGATCTTCTATTAAACTCTTCATTTTTAAGTGGCGTGATCTTGGATGGAGCTGATAATAGGATTAATCTTCAATTAAAGGCTACCTGATCTTGATTTTACTTTATTTTAATTCAAGGTGGTATAACACGTCCATTGTTCAAATAAACGGTGTCTACTGTCTAGTAATAAATTATTCGATCTCCAACGATAGACCTCGTTATAGTGTTAAACTGTTAATCTTGAATGATATCCGCCTATCTGGGGTGTTTTATTAGCTCTTGGTTGATTGTATTAGTTGATTGATGTGAGTGGATTCTGTTGACTATTTTTATTAGCGGATAGTATTAGTAGTTTATGATGGTGTTTGGTTAGTGGCGGATCAGCCAATTTTTAGCTGTTTTGACCATTAGTTTGCTTTTTGACTAAATTAATAAGCTAATAGTATGTTTGGTTAAATGCCTTTTCATTTGGCTTTTTGTCCCAAACACCTATGTGGAGGTATTGGCCCCACGGGCCAAGGCAGCCCTCTCTATCCTATTGGGCCTGTTTGCTTACCTCTGCCCTGGCCCATGTTGTTCTGCCGCTAGCCCTTCTTCTGGAACCCTCCTTTAGAGCTTCCCCTTTGTCCGGATACTTAAACTCCTCTACGCCTTTTGTTGACGTAGAGGTCTTCGGTTAGAGAGAGAGAGTGAGGTTAAGAGAGATTGAGAGAGAGACTTCCGTCTCTTCTCTATTCCGGTCCCTCTGTGGTATTCTCTCTGTGCCTCCCCTTTTCTGACCTTTGGCGTGCGTTGAGATGGCTGGGCTGGTCTGAGTGTTCTTGTCCCTTCCGGTGGTGCTTTGGTGTGTGTGCTGTATGAGCGTGGTCTGAGCTGGAGAGGTGAAAACCTGACAGTGGTATCAGAGCAGGAACTCCTGTCGTCCTCGCCTACAGCCCGGGAGCTCCTCCGCCGCCATCCGCCGCAGATCTCCATCTCAGTGGTAAGTCGAGAAGCCCATCCTCGGGTTCTCGCTCAGGTAAATTGGCGATAAACACCCTAGGTTGCCGGGTGCCTCCGGTTTTAAGTGATTTTTGGTGTTTTACTTGATTCATCCCCTCTCCCCGCTTTGCTCTTGCTGCTGACCGTGTTGGTCTGGCTGTCAGTTTGTAACTGACATTCCCCAGGTGCGTTCTCTTTACCTTCGTGTGTGAAGTGGTCTGCATGAGTGTTTTGTGTTTGCGGGATTGAGTTGTTTGATCTGGTATTCTGCTTTTCTGTCTCCTTTACGTGTTTATCTCTACTTTACTGTTTTGTGTGCCTTCTTGGTATCCGTGTGAACTTGGTTTTTTGCCTCTGTGACTCGGCACCTGAGGTTAGGACTGACAGGTTCCCTGTCAGTCACTCAAGTGGCCCTCGGATCTGTGTGGCCTGTCAGCCCGCAGCCGGGTACACTGGTGAACCCTAGCTCCTTGGTTCTCTGTCTCTTTGTTTGCTATCTTTCATTTACTTTGTCTTCTGCCACTGATTCTTCAGTGTTATCCTTTTTTGTGTTCCTTATCATGTCTGCCAATATGTATGGTGTGTTACCTTTTAATGGAAAAACTGATTTTGACATTTGGAAACAAAAGATCAAATGTGTTTTAATCCAGCAAAAGGTTTTCAGAGCTGTAAGTGAACTATATTTGGATTCTGATGATAGTGCTAAGATAGCTGAAATGAATGAAACTGCCTGCTCTACTATATATCTTAACCTATCTGACTCTGTGCTTAGAAAGGTTGGTATTTTGGATTCTGCTAAAAAGCTGTGGGATAAGTTAGATGATCTTTATACTGATACTTCTCTGCCTGGTAAACTGTTTTTGCTTGAAAAAATCTTTCGGTTTAGGCTAGACCTAACCAAAGACATTGATGAAAACTTGGATATTTTTAATAAGTTGATCCAGAACATTAAACAATCTGGTGATAAACATATTGATGATTATACTGCTGTTGTGTTGCTTAATGCTATTCCTGATTCATATAATGATGTTAAATCTGCTATTAAATATGGTAGAGATGATGTCACTCTTGATATTGTTGTGAATGGCCTTAAGAGTAAGGAACTTGACCTTAAACATAATAGGAGTATCTCTAGTCAACCCAAGGATTCTGGTGAGGCTATGTTTGTGAGGGGTAGATCTAAGAGTAGGTCTAAGAATCAGAAACAGGATGCCCAAGCTAAAAATAGTAACCCGAATGGTAAGAAGAGGAATAAGTCTAGAAAGCGTGTGTGCTACAACTGTGGCAATTCTAGCCACTTTATAAAGGACTGTCCCCATCCTAAGAAACCTGAGCAGGCTAGTGTAGCTATAGAGAGAGATGACCTTGGTGAGGTTCTCATGGTGTGTGACCATGTTAATTCTGTTCGTAATACCTTGACTAAGCATGAATGGCTAATTGATTCTGGTTGTACCTATCATATGACTCCTTTTAGGGATTTGTTTTCTAAGTATGAGAATTGTGATATGGGTTATGTTTCCTTGGCTGATAATAAGAGATGCAATGTTTTGGGTGTTGGTGACATATGTCTCAAATTATCTTGTGGCTCTGTGTTTACTCTTAAGAATGTGAGGCATGTCCCTGATTTGTGTCATAACTTACTATCTGTTGCTGCCTTGGAGGGTAGTGGACTAGAGGGAAAGTGGAGGAATGGGAGTATGAAAATTTTGAAAAATTCTCTGGTGTTGTTTAAAGCTGAAAAGGTGAACAACCTTTATGTGTGTCATGCTAAACCTTATATTGACTCTGTGAATGCTGTGAAAGTTGTGCATACTGATAAAACCTTGTTGTGGCATAATAGACTAGGGCATATGAGTAATAAAGGTTTAGGGATCATGCACAAACATGGTTACCTTGGTAAAGATTCTGTGAACTCTTTGACTTTCTATGAATCATGTGTGCTTGGTAAACAACATAGAGTCCAGTTCCCTCTATCCTCTTATCCTAATATAACTAAGTGCTCCTCTGTGCTTGAATATGTGCATGCTGATGTTTGGGGTCCTGCTAGTGTTCCCACACATGGGGGGAAACGATATTTCTTGTCCTTAATTGATGATTTCTCTAGGAAAGTGTGGGTTTATCTTCTAGAACATAAGTCTGATGTTTGTGAGAAGTTTAAAGCCTGGAAGTTACTTGTAGAAAATCACACTGGACAGAATGTTAAGACCCTTAGGACTGATAATGGCCTAGAGTTCTGTAACCAAGAGCTTGACCAACTGTGTGCCACTTCAGGCATTAGGAGACATAAGACTGTGCCCTACACACCCCAACAGAATGGGGTGGCTGAAAGGATGAATAGAACCCTTCTTGACAAGGTTAGGAGTATGTTGTCTACCTCAGGTTTACCTAAGAAGTTTTGGGGTGAAGCAGTCACCACTGCCACCTATCTGATTAATAGATCTCCCTTTGTTCCCATAGGGGGTCAATGCCCTGAAGTTAAGTTTACTGGTGGGCCTCTTGACCTAACAAACCTTAGGGTCTTTGGGTGTGCTGCCTATGTTCATCAGAAAACTGATAAGTTAGATCCTAGATCCAAAAAGTGTGTGTTCTTGGGTTATCCTGATGGGGTAAAGGGATATAGGTTGTGGGATAGAAGTGTGCCTGGTTTTAAGGTGGTTATAAGTAGGGATGTAATTTTTAATGAATTTGATTTCCCTTGCTTGCTTAAACCTGTTTCTGAGCATAAGCCTGAGAGGACACCTGTTGAGGTGGAGCCTCGGGCTCCTTCTGTACCTATTATTCCTGCTGTTATGTATGACACTCCTCCTGTTGTTCCTGTCATCCCTTCTGATGTGCATGTTAATACTTCTTCTGATACTGCTACCTCCGGTGAGGTGGAGTTCAACACTCAAGATGACCATGTGCAAAATGATTCTCTGTCTGGTGAGACTAATGTGTTTGATGATTCTGCTGAGAATGATAATGTTGATTTGCATGACTACCAACTTGTTAGGGATAGGGGTAGAAGAACCATTAAGAGAAAATCTGATACTTTGTCTGATTATGCTTTGACTGTGTTTGAGACCCTAGACCTAAATGAACCTAAGACCTATAGTGAAGCTATAAGGTCCAGAGAGGCTCAGAAATGGCTTGAGGCCATGAAAAGTGAGATGGACTCTCTAAGAGTGAACCAGACTTGGACCCTTGTTCCTAGACCTAATGCCAGCTCAGTGGTTGAGTGCAAATGGTTGTTTAAGGTCAAGGAAGAACCGGGTAATAACATTAGGTATAAGGCCAGGTTAGTTGCCAAGGGGTTTACTCAAAAAGAGGGGGTAGATTATGCAGAAATCTTTGCTCCTGTAGTTAAGTTTACTACTGTTAGAAT